CTTACGCCATCTGTTGACATCAAATTACACTTATAACAAATTACCCCACAAAATACAACTAGCGCCATCTCTTTTTTTTCCAACGCACTATAAATATCCAAACAGCAACCCATAAGGCGGATTGTTGTGCTCGGGTAGGAGGTTCCAAGCTCCGCCCACAAGTGGTATGGGGTGCTAAAGGCTCCATCCACCTAGTAAATCATCTTTGTTCAGCACAACATCCTTGCTTATGACATTCTGCTTCAACTTTAATCTACATAAAAAGTGAAGGGTTAAGTATTTAAAAGCATTAATAAAGTTATAATTAAATACTGCAGAATGTAACGAGTGTTGCAGAAACATGGGCTGGCTACCTAGCTTGTGACGTCATCAGTGGGGGTTGCCTGACGCAAATATTATCGATGATACAATGCTCTGTTCTCTTATTGGACTCGATTATTCAGTTAGATGGAAATTTCTGTCTTGTACAAAACAAAGAGATTGTGTTCGAAATAAAGATATTATTGTGTAAAAGGACGTATTTCTTAGTTTGCATTTAATTTATAGAAAGAGTGTTGGCATTCCCAGCAACAGCCAATCACAGGAAGGTATTTGCTAAAAGTCCGTCTCCTTACTGACGTCTTCAGGAGCGACACACAGATCTAATGGGCGCATCCGATCCCACGATCGTCGTCGCCCCTAAATCAACACAACAACACACAGATCTAACTTATGGCTTTCTGTTTCATCTCTTGTATATAAAAAAATATGAATATTTCGATTACTATGAATATTAAAAGTATGAGATTAAGTTGTTACACAAAATAGCTAAAGTTTGCCATATAAAAGAGATCATAGTGGATTTTGTAATAGTTTCATGGAAAGCGTGTTATACAATTTTTCTAAATATCTTCTGATATGGGTGTTGACTTCTCAATTTGTGTACCTAATACTTGAAGGCTTCTTTTTACACATTCACAAGGGAGACATCTCCCGTCACGCAGGGTGCATTCGCACCTCCACAGATCTCCAGTATCAGCTCTTGATACTGGTAATGGCTTAAAAGGGCCACCACTTACGGGCTATTCATGCCCGTGCCACCTTTTGGGTGGCTTAATCTTCATCAATCAATCAATCTTGAAGGCTTCTTTCCAGTTCCTTGTAGATTTTATACCAGTCAGAACAATCAGTAAGGGCTCTTAGTATAATTGCGTTTATTACACTATTCTTATATCTGTCTGACCATTCATACACATTCCAGTGTTGGTGGGTTTAGTATAATCTATGGTGAAAGTTGTCTTATAAATAAATAATAAATAAATGTTTATTCAGCCAAGGTACATACATACAAGAGATTTTACAAAAATTGATGGATTTATAGATAGAGCTAGTACATACAATGCCTAAAGTCACTATTACGCAAAGCGTTTCGGGCAGGTGTCTTGGTCTTAGTCCTTATAGTCTTCGGGGTCTTAGGTCCTCACGTAGACATGGAGGAAAGAGAGTGTACCATCGATGCCTAGTTCATGGGTAAAGTTAAGCACTGAGTTGCGGATAAGTTGATCCTTTAATCGCGACAATTCCAGGAGGATTTTCACACATACGTATATATTATCGATATATCTGCAGTAGATGCGAAGTTTCCCTGTGGTATTGAAGGTTTTCTAGTGTTCATAATTAGAGTAACCATGAGGTTTTATTTATATTTTTAATACAACAAAAAATTAATTATTATAATGTTTCGATTATTTCTGAGGCCCATTATTTATGAGTGGGCCCAAAAATTTATTCCCCTAAATAAATGCACATTATTATCATTATGCACCCCATACCCATCTTGTGGGCGGTAGTGGAAAGGGTTACTGAGCCCATTATGTGCCTCTGTAACCCTTTCCACTACCGCCCACAAGATGGGCATGGGGTGCATAATAAATGAACTAAATTAACTAACTATGATTGACTAAATCTAGACCTTTCAGGCGAGATCAGATGTGAACGCCAGCTGGCGCACAAGTACAAGAGCGCCCAAAATTAACACATAAGACACGTAGAGACAGGCGTGTAGCTTCTGACTTTGTTTCTATTAATAAATATTACATGTTAAGCGTTTACTCTTAAAACCTATTATTATATATTGGTACAACAATCACACAGTAAATGTAATAGGAGTCTACCCAAAAACTGGCCACAGTCAAGTGTTTTGTGCGTTCGACCATGTTTGTGGGCCTTCAGACGCGAAGTGTAAACATTGGCGGACGTTCTTATGAAGCCAGGATTCAGAAGCCATCACATCACTCACAGCCAGTCCTCCAAACAAAGATCCAAAAGTGATTCCATCCACCCGCCAAACCCCCTGTTTATGAATGAAACGCGGTTTACACACGACTCACAACTGCTGACGTTCGAACATATCCGGAACAGGTGCTTCACTGACGAATTTTGTTCGAACCACAACGCTATAAATGCTTCACCCACGTACTATAAATACAAATAATTGCCAACAGAACCTAAACACCTAACCTAACCTATCCTATGCCTATATATACACAATATGCTAATATATTATAATATTAATTTATACTTGAGAAAAATCCCGTTTTGAATGAACAGCATGTTAAAATTTATGAATGCGTCTGTGGGGTTGACCGCTGAATGTAATGGACTTGAGTCGAGGACGGGTTGTCACTCAACTTCATTCAATAACTATATGCCTGTTAACTAGAAGATTTTAACTGTTAATAGTCTTATATTGGGGTTTTAATACTAAGTATAACCATTTTATTTTTTATTTATTTATATATCCAAGAGTTCTTACATTCTAAATTACAAAAAATATATAGGGGATGAGTACCACCTCTGATTGCGTTTGTAGGGACTCTCTACCTCAGTTTAGTTCATTTATTATGCACCCTATACCCATCTTATGGGCGGTAGTGGAAAGGGTTACAGAGGCACATAATGGGCTCAGGGACTGAACCCCACAATTCATTTAGCTAAGCAAGTTACAATCTTGATGAGCTAGTTACAAAATTCAGTATAAGTCGTCACATCATCAATGGGTTCAAGATCGACCACAAGTACAGTTTCTAAATTAAGTGTCCAACCGTTTCTGTCCTGCGACCGGGTGATTTAACCTCGATCCCTTAACTGTTAACCATAGACGTAAAATACGGACGGGCTACATTTTACTCTGGCAAAATATATATCATCTCATATAAGTACTCATAATAACATAACTATAATATTCTTTAATGAAATGGGGCCGAAATGAACTGGCTCCATTTAATTTGTATGAAATCAATTGTCAGGAAGGATCAAATAAAGACCCAAGAGGTACCGCAAGTGGACTAGTATGTGGGCGGAGCATAACGTATTGCATTATACACCTGACGTGCCCGTAGTCAGTTATGCAATGTGAAGCAAGTATGTGGTGGGGCGGGCGGGCTCACCTCACTGACCTCAGCCCCAGTCCCCGAGCGATATTTTATTTATTCATTTATTTATTTATATACAAGAAGGTACATTGGGGGTTAACAGAGAACATATAAATTAAGTTGATTTTACATTCTTGTAAAGCCACTTAGCACGCATAACGTTTCGGGCATTTACACAAATCAAATCAAATCAAAAACACTTAATTAATACAAGTTTTCTTCATCAATCTTAAAATGTTTAATATAAAATATATATCATCAATTATGCAGATGATAAGTCACAATAACATGGCTGAAAAATGTTGACCAAACCAACGCTACGCGTGCTAGTGGCTTTTTAAGAATAGAAAAAACCCCTTGTATACATATAACAAAATAATAATAATAATTTATTGTTGGGGGACAGGCAGGCATCCAGTTTATGCATAACAATATATATGTTTGGCTTACATTGAGGTCTCCCCAAGGTTGAACTACTGACCCTCCCCCACCTCCCAAAGAGGAAGCACCACAAGAAACTAACTCCTGAGGACCTATTTTACTGCTGGGTGAACAGGGCCATTATGAATAAGTTATATTGATTGATTGATTGATGAAGATTAAGCCACCCAAAAGGTGGCACGGGCATGAATAGCCCGTAAGTGGCGGCCCTTTGGAGCCATTGCCAGTATCAATAGCTGATACTGGAGATCTGTGGAGGTGCGACTGCACCCTACGAAGAGGTCGTGACCTCTGAATTATATTGGCGAACAGGGCCATTATATTGGCGATAGGAAACGCGCTCAACCATTTCTTGACCGGCCGGGATTCGAACCTGACATTCCCGATTGTAGGTCTAGAACAAACCCAACTTTTCTCTCCCTCTTTACCCAGCAATTCTCTTTCATATATCTATGAAAGAGAATGTCTATCTATCCGGAGTTAAAGACCAGTGGGGCTAGCCTTACCAAACTTTCCAAGATGGCACATACATTAATTGAATCAAGGACCACACACACTATAGTGGCCTCGACAAGGACAAGAAGCCGGCGGCTTGTCAAAAGGTTCCCCCCATTTGTCCTAATAACTCTAGCAAGCTAGATCTTTAAGTCGAAGATTTTAACTGTTAATAGAATTATATTGTGGTGTTAATATTTAGTAAATCAATTGTATATGAAACAAAATTGTTGTGTTCGAAATGGTAAAAAATATATGTGGGCTTCGTCTTGTTTATCCCATTATTATTATTAATTAACATCTTTATTGACAAAATTAATTACAATTTTGCTTAATCTGAGGATTTCAATTAAGTCTTATTAAAGTGTTTATCCCAACTTTTATCCAGTGCTTTTCACTCATGTTCCCCCTTTTTTTTTATCTTTATTTGTATTTGTTCTCAACACATTTTATTCTTTATGCTCAATTAGTATTAAGTTCTAGATATTAATGTTCTTCCTGCCCGAAACGCATTGCGTAATAGTGGCTTTAGGCATTGTATGTACTAGCTCTATCTATATATTGATCCATTAATGTAACATCACTTGTATGTATGTACCTTACCTGAATAAACATATTTATTATTTATTTATATTTATTTAACAGCTGATTCAGTCGGGGTGGTTGTGGCCCCTAAATCAGCACAACAACAACAACTGCGCTGTAGCTGCCCCTAACCCTACAGCAGCAACAACCTGTAGCTATATTGGAGGGTTGTGTTGGTGTGCGAGGTGAGGAAGATGAGTAACATGGAGGTGAAGGTAGAGTGCGTGCTGCAGAAGTTGTGTGGCCACCAGGTAATAGAAGAGGCAGCGCTGGTCGAGGACGACACCGTGCTACACAAACTACACACTCACCTCCACCTCCATCTCACCAAGAGTGCCAATGGTGAGTGTGGTGTGGCAGTACTTGGTGTGGCAGTGCTTCTTAGGTGGTCGTGGCAGTGTTTCTTATGTGGTCGTGGCAGTGCTTCTTATGTGGTCGTGGCAGTGCTTCTTATGTGGTCGTGGCAGTGCTTCTTAGGTGGTCGCGTGGCAGTGCTTCTTAGGTGGTCGTGGCAGTGCTTCTTATGTGGTCGTGGCAGTGCTTCTTATGTGGTCGTGGCAGTGCTTCTTAGGTGGTCGTGGCAGTGCTTCTTAGGTGGTCGTGGCAGTGCTTCTTATGTGGTCGTGGCAGTGCTTCTTATGTGGTCGGGCAGTGCTTCTTATGTGGTCGTGGCAGTGCTTCTTAGGTGGTCGTGGCAGTGCTTCTTATGTGGTCGTGGCAGTGCTTCTTATGTGGTCGTGGCAGTGCTTCTTAGGTGGTCGTGGCAGTGCTTCTTAGGTGGTCGTGGCAGTGCTTCTTACGTGGTCGTGGCAGTGCTTCTTAGGTGGTCGTGGCAGTGCTTCTTAGGTGGTCGTGGCCTCGCATGGTCGATGTTGTAAGTATCCTTGGTCTGTGGGTTAAGCACTTATGGGTATGGCTAGTAACTGGCTGGGTGCCTGCAGGGACAGACTCGCCCTTGGACTCCAAAAAACAAATCCAAAATGCATAAAAAAAAATCCAAAATGCCCAACAAAAGAATCCAAGAGGTCCAATTACAAAATTCAAATCCTTCCAAATTTGATTGAAAATCTGAGATGGTTGGGTTGAAAGGTTCACTTTTTTGTGATAATTTGGCATGGAATAGCCCATAAGTCCAGAGAGAGAGTAGGTGACACATCAAAATGACACCACTTTCCTTTATATGCATATGTGTGTGGGTTGAACTATTTGTTTTCAGCCTCATGATTGTTATTTATTCTCTATATATCATATTTATCGTTACAGGATATGAATGGGCACAACAAGTTGGATTAGTGTCCTTCATAAAGACTGTTCTTGCGAGAAGTGCTGATGGCAGTGCAAAAAATCCAGCAACAGTTGCATTTGCCTTGAAAGCCTTGTCATCACTTATTGCCAATGAAGACAACTTTAATATCTTTCTTGAAGACAAGGTTGGTGTAATCTATGAAATGCTTCTTAATCATATTCTCACATTTAACATTTAGCCTCTGTTTGTGGTTCAGTATTATGACTTATGTACTTTATTTTAACTAAACTCAAGCAGTCCCCATGGTGAAGTGATAAGACAATTGCCTGACGTTTCGCAGGCGTTTTGTCCTGGGTTCATATCCAGGCGGGAAGGATTTACTGGGCTTCAATCTTTAACTGTAGCCTCTGTTTACCTAACAGTAAAATGGGTACTTGGTTGTTAAACGATTTGGCGGGTCATATTCCAGGGAACATAGGATTAAGGACTTGCCCAAAATGCAGTGCGTGCTGTAGTGGCAAGAGTACAAGAATGTAAGAACTCTCATTTATTTTATATATATATATATATATATATAATATTATATATATATATATATATATATATATATATATATATATATATATATATATATATATATATATATATATATATATATATATATATATATATATATATATATATATATATATATATATATATATATATATATATATATATATATATATATATTATATATATATTTTATAATAAATGATATATAGTATAATAATAAATGACTATTTACTAGATTACTTCATACAGTACAGTACTGTACTTCATTACTGAGATTATAGAGAAATGAAAACTTCTTTCCTCATCTTAGGAAAAACTATAACAGTAATTGCTTACCCCAGTATTACATTGCTACAAACTACTCTGGTTCAGCTGCAGGTTTCAGAGTTCATATCATTGGATCAAAATTATATTTTAAAACAGTTTCATTGTACATTGGCTGAGATTTTTGGAATAGAAATACATTATGATGCAAAGCAGGATACTGTATATAGGATGCTGGCAATACACTGATCAGACAGGGGTAACTCCTCTTAGTTGCTAAGCAATCTCATAAGTAGTGACTTCATCAGTGGGTCACGTTCAAATGTACTTTTGTCTCTCTTATGTGGTTATTAGTTATATGGATGCATTTTTTTTCTCAGCAACTTGGCCATCCATAAATATGTATACCAACACAGACCAACCAAACCTAATGATCCCAATATATGATCCGTTAAGTATGAGAATGGGTTCATAATGGTAGGCTGCTGTTGAGATTTTGTTTATTGTGCATAATTATTGTACTGTACTTTTATTATTTTTGTAGGTTCTTTGTCACTTCCTACTTATTCTGCCAAGCATACGGAGTGATCCAACGCTCTCTTCTTCAGCGCTCATTCTCGTGCAAGCTATCTACAAGCACAAAACTGGACTTTATTGGCTGATAAAAAATGGTTTGTGAGATACAAACTCTGATAATTGGTGTTTTGGTTCCTCTATGTCATGTGAATACTTGCCATTTTTTTTAAGAAAGAATATACAATTTTACAGTAAACTTTTATATAAAAATAAAACTCATATGTACTAGTTTCTTATGTAAAATGTAATTTTGTTATCCAGGTATATGGGAGAAAATGTTGCTACCATGCCTTCGAAGCTCCAGCATGTTTGTGCAGCGAGAAGGTGTGAATGTTATATCCTCGTTTATGCTGTTGACTATCGAAACTAAGGTAAGAACAATGTTACTTTTGCATGTATAGTACTGTATTTGTTATTCCCCCATCCTCCCATTGTTGTGTTCATCTTAATGAGCAATGACTGTGATAAGGGTATCATTGTAATATTAATGAATATTATTACGGGCTTAAATATTAGTTTCAGAGTGATCAAAAAATTTTGATTGGTTTTATTTTCTGAACAGTGTTTGTAATAGTAACATAGAGTATCTAAGCATACACTCAGTTATGTGACTCAATACCTTTGGTGTGGTGCAGCATGTATCTTGTGCAGTGTGCATAGTGCCTTAAGGTGCCTGCCAAGTGGTTCAAAATGATTGATTTTAGCAATATTATAATGTCAAATGGGGGGGGACCTTTGACAAGCCACAGGTTTCCTGTCCTTGTCAAGGCCTCTAGACTGTTAGGGGGCCCTCAGGTGAATGTTTTCACTTTTGTGATTTGAAATGAAAATTATTGAATTGGCAATATTTTTACATTTTTTCATGTTTTAAATAATTTCAGCTAATGTTAATAATTCCTTAAGCCCTGCACCATGATGTTATTACCAATATATGAAACAAGTGCACATTCAAAGGGTTACTCATCTGCACTCGAAAGTGACCGGTTGCATCATCATCTATTGTTGTAACCACTATAGGTTTATCTAACCTCACCTTAGACTAGTAGAGCACTCTGCTCAGCCTGTACTCTCATTACACACAATGCCTTGACTTAGACTACAAGACGTCTTTGGAGGTAGTGGGCCCTCTCTAATATGTGACCTTACACCTCACAAAGACATTGGCCACAACTAACAATGCATATCTCTCCGGATAAACTTTTGATCCTCTTCACCACTCGCACCGCTTCGGGTCTCTTTTGGCCTATATGGAGAATATTTATCTGTTCTCTTAGATCAGAACCTTGGAGCTCTCAGCACCAGTGGCCTCCCTAATACTCTCAGCACCAGTGGCCTCCCTAATACTCTCAGCACCAGTGGCCTCCCTAATACTCTCAGCACCAGTGGCCTCCCTAATACTCTCAGCACCAGTGGCCTCCCTAATACTCTCAGCACCAGTGGCCTCCCTAATACTCTCAGCACCAGTGGCCTCCCTAATACTCTCAACAACCACTAGTCAAGCCCTACAGCTTACCTGTGCTTGCTTTTATTTCATTATGACTTGACACAGTTGGGAATCGTCTCGAGATTGTTATCACACTTGTTTACTGTATTCTAATTAGAACTCATTCAGCCAGTAGCCATGTAATTAGCAGTAAAGCAGTACTATGTCAACACTAAAATTATATTTTATAATATAAAATTTACTCTAGAATCTCTCTCCAAAATGACAAAATTAATTGTAGCATGAAGGTAAATTGCAGCATGGGCATTTTGTGGATTTTGCAAAGTATAGATATAATAGTCTGAATGTAAGGTATAGGTTTGGGTGGATTAAGTTTAATTCTCTATATTTGTGGCCCCTTATCTTGTATTTTATCTAAGAACTTTAGATATGTCCATAGACAAATACAAAAAATTATCTTGTGGCAAGTACTTTGTGATCGATGTGATTTGTGAGTTGTAGAGTGTTAAGACCTTGTAGTTTTTGTAATTTTCATTATTATTATTATTACTGTGTTAATATTATTATTATTACTACTAGTATTGAGAAAATCAGTAGGAGCCTTGATGAGGATTCGAACCTATGTGGCAAATAGCATACGAACAGCATAGTATAGTAATGTGTACCTAAATTATATTATGTAATTAGTATTGTACTCTGTCTTGTATTTCAGCATTTTGAGTCTTTACTGAAGGACTTGCTTATTATTTCGGATAAGTTCTGCGAGTTGCGAAGACTTTTGAGCAAGAGCGATGGGGAAGAACTTAGACAGAGCAACTTGTGTGTAATGCGCATAATTAGGCAACTATTCTTACAGGTATGACTGGTTTCTATCTTTTCTCATTAGTGATTTGTATTTTAATACTCTCTTTATTCTAAATATGTATTCTTTCAGACATGTTATATTTAATCCTTTAAGCTTTTATGCTTATCTTTTTTTCAGTTACCAGATTTAAGGGGATATAAGCCACCCCAATGTTAAGCTGCAGGGGAAGTTTTAGACATACCTGTATTGTATTTCAAAAATCAAAACTTACTTTATGCCAGACCTTGAAGTTGAGCCATCATTTTGATACCACATATTAAAACTATATTCACATTCGAAATTGCTCTTAACACAAATAGTTTTAGCTAGCATAAAAGATGCCTTTTATGAGTTAATAAGTTCCCCTTAAAAACTAGTACAGTACTGTATTTGCAGCTTTTCTTTTAAATATGAAATACACATTTCTTTGGAGGCATAGTAAGAAGCAAAGTTATCATTTCATATAAGCATCCAGGACTTACATGGAAAAGTTAAAGTTCTGGGACCGAACTATGTTAGTGCTGCCTCCTCCCAAGGTTACAATAGTTATTGTCTTGTGGCAGGTGAACAGGTTTCCCAAATGTTGCATTTGGGAAATGTTCCCAAATGTTCCCAAAACATTTGGGAACAGGTTGTTCCCAAACATTGAGGGAACAATGTAAGCTCACGCACACTTTTCTTATTCGTTTATTAAAAAATGGTGTGGTTTATATTTGTTAAAATACTGGACTACCTTTTCAAACCACTCAATTGTTTGTGTTCTGTTAGGTTTATAGGTTGTCTATGTACAGTCCTTGTAAAGATAAAATTAATATGAATACTTCATATCTTCTTTTTAAATTTCATATTGTACTTATCGGTAACCTCTTCCAGACTTTAGGGAAGGTTCCTGCCTACTCGGTGGTAGGAAATACTGTTGATATAACTCAGCGATTTTTTTCAATGCTGAACTGCAACATCCCAGTTACATCTGTGACATGTGGTACTGATGTGCTGATACTCAATATACTACATAAAGTAAGTGTTGCATGGTAAGTTGTACATCAGTAGTGTATATCATTGACTGGTATTATTTGCCTGTCTGGTTTTAGTTATCATTTCTAATTGGTAATTTCAATGTTAAGTTACTCATATTTTGTTCAATCACAATTTTCTTTGAAAGTATTTGTTTAATAATAATAATATTATTTTATTTATAAAAATGCAGAGGATCAAATTACCGCAGGTAATTACCAGGTAGTAGTTACAGTATTTGCATATTTTATAAAGCCACTAATTAAGCATAGGGTAATTTTCAAGAGTTATTTGAGCATAAGTTAATTAACATTTTAAGTACATGAGATATACAAAAGCTTCATAAAAAGGAAACTGTTTGAATGAGGATATTAAAGCATTTTCCTTTTTTAAACTATTGATTGAATAACAAACTTGGCTGATAGATGTACTGTATGTATTAGGTGTGGAGATTGATGAAATAATTTCCTTTACTAAGCATTTGAAAGATGTTGCAGTTAAATATTGTTTCACTGTGAAGGGTTGCTCTACACCTAGATGTTATGGGGAGTATCACTCTTTACAACTCACAAAGTAGTCTAATCATGGAATACAGTACTTAGTTTTTATTTATGACTCCTGTCCACAGTCCAGCCACAGTCTTGTAATAAAATTACAAGACGGCTAGATATTTAGTAAGAAGCATCCTCAATGCATTAATTCATTGCTGTAATTCTGGGTTCTCCAACATGCAGGAAATGGCTCATTTGTGTGTATTCTACAAAGCCAACAAAATTAACAAATGTTGATGTCTCGCTGAGTAAGCTTCACTTTAGTTCCCTCTTACAAGAAATTAGTAAAAATTCAGTTCCACAAGTGAATATCAGATATATGATCCTGCCTTAGGGTGCATCTAAGTGTCTTGCTCGAAAGTTTGTATTTTTTCTCTCATATTGTGATCTTGAGTGATATTTAGTACCTTCTGACTATTCTGAGGCACAGACAGTGCTAATAAATAGTCTTCCAAACTAGGTGCCTTTCTTTGATAATTACTTGCATGCTTGGAAAGTAGATTTTCAAATACTTCATTCATAACCTGATTTTTTTTCTTGTTTTATTTGCTTTCAGTTTCAAGAGCAGCTCATGGGATATGGCATTTTAGAACAGTTTCTACTAGATTCCTTGTGTTGGGATATGATCGCTTTAACCAGGCTGCTGCTAGAGAAAGGCTACATCGAATCCTTCCTCAGGTGAGAGAGATCTATCAATAATCTTTTATGCTTTTAGTCCTCTTTAAAACTTGTTGCCCTCAAGAGCATCTTGTAGTTTTACCCTGACATTTCAGCCCTTTTTAAAATTATAAATATGCTTTGAATGAGCAGATGACATTAATGCGGAGAAATGTTTATGTAATGAATGTAAAGTAGATAACACTTTTTTCAATAGACGAATATCTGAGCAGTAGAAGAGAAGCAGAATGACAAATATAAAAACGACAAATAGAATGGAAAAATGCTTTCCATGAAAGAGCGAAATGGAGATGCAGAAAAATACATAAAATTATTTACCATGATGCAGATGGGACAGAATTTGCATAGAGAGAGAGACTCACATAAACAGTAACCTGTTACATATTTAAACTTTGTACTAGATTAATGATTGGGTCAAATGAGACAGTGACAACAAAATAATGGAAAGTGTTCTTGGAAAACCTCGACACCAACAAAATGTATGTAAGGTAAAGGTGAAAAGAGGGGGGGTACCGAGGCACCATACAGGAGGCCTGACGAAGCACTGGGGTGCAGCAGTGAATGACTGCTAGAGTATGGTATGGTATTGTGATGCTTGTTTATCTCTGAGCTCTATAGTTTGAGTTATACAATGAATAGATGGGTAATAGTTTCTTTATTAATATCTATAACCATTCACTTTATCAGTGAAAAATAGGCTAATTATGATAATGATACTGTGAGAAAATAGAAGTTGGCAGTAGGTAAGAGGAATGGGAAGTAGGTAAGGGAAATGAGAAGTAGGGAAGGGGAATGGAAAGTAAGTAAGCAGTAATGAGAAGTTTGTAAGGGAAATGGAATATGATAAATTTGTCAGTTTAGTAATAGTAGAAATGAATATTTTTTGTAGTGAGGAATATTTGAGCAAGATTCAACTTGGAGTGACACATTAAGCTTGTACAGTAGTGGTAAATGATTCGACATATTTAATGTACATTGAGATTAATGAGAAAATCTGTAGGAGCCGTGATGAGGATTCGAACCTATGCAGTGGGTAGTTGCACGCGCACACGTTGTGGCCTGATTGTCTGGGACGCGTGCGTGGGACTACCCACCGCATAGGTACGAATCCTCATCATGGCTCCTATGGATTTTCTCATTGATACATCACATTAATGTGATTACTCTCTGTGTATTGAGGTTAATGGTGGCTTGGTCTTCATTTTCTTCTAATAATGGTCTGTTTGAAATTTTCCATTTTCAGGTCATCCGTAAACATTCACAGATATTGGATAATCATGGTCCAAAATCTTAAGGAAGCCAAGAATATTGATTTGACCTCAATTGAAGCTTTGCTCCATATTGTCACAAATTTCCAGGTTTGTGACATTACCGACTAATTCACATATTGTATTTGGAAACCTACCCTCATGCACTTTGAATTTTGATGCTAAAAACAATTCATATAGGAGTACATTTACGTTTTATAAATATGTACAGAACAGAGGTCTACTGTATTGAATAATTATTGCCATAATATCTATTTTTAGCAGTTTCCAAGCAATGCTTTGTAAGAATTGTAACTTCCTCAGGTAACTTCAATACTGGTACTGTACCGAGCTTCCCTGGATAAATTGTTCAAGGAGTGTCCTCGGAAGAAAGAAGTTATAGCCAAATGGAATGAGGATATTCATAGTCGAATAAATATAAAAGAAGACATCTTGGTGAGAATTTTCATTGCATAAGTCTGTGAGGATGCTTCATGTGTATACTGCTGTAGTTTTACTCCTTGAGCAAATATGTATTGAAGTTATGCAATGGGATCGAACCTGCATACCAGGATTTCTTAGGTAGTATGTGTACTTAACCACTGCACTGCGCAAAGCACCTTTAGGCGCTCAGAGAGTTGTGCTTTTTGTTTTTTAATTTGGCTATATTTTAATGTTTTTTAATGTTTTCATTACTATTTGTGTTTTGAAATGGAAATAGTTGACTTTGGAAACATTTTGACATTAAATTTACCTGAACATTTGTAAAAATAACAAAAATATGTCCTTGACAATTGCACCAAGACGTTTTTGCCGAAAATAGGTGAGCAGTGCAAGGGTTAAGGAATTAAACATTCTCAAGATTTTCATATAGATTTTCAGGTTGTAGGGTCATTTTATTTCTTAAGTACAGTAGAGTATATTCATATTATTGTTTATGTTATGTGAAATAGGTATTCCTGATCAATTTGCCAAGCATAACTCCCTTGATTGACTGTGTTCAAAACATAGCTGTTTATTTTCTGTGGAATATATTTTTTTTGTGTTGAGTGCAGAAGTTTGTGATTTGTAATATATTATGATATCCATCTTACTTGAGGTGTGTTAGCATCTAATGCAAATCAACAAAGTCTAGCTTATTAGACATAAGCAATGGTAACCAACGTCATTGTTTTGGCTATCATGTTGGCCTCGCCTTTATATACTGTTAATTAAGTTCATAAATTCCTAAATGTATAATTATGTTGTATAATTATGAAATCATAAGTTATCTTGAGCTGCAAAATGGCTTCTGATCTCCAGTCAAATCAGTTCCATTCTGGATCCTAATAAGGTCTTGAATCTTGTATCTGCAAAGGTTGTTTATATATACCATATTCATAATAATAGATTTACTGTTTTGATGCATTGAGGAAATGTCCTTGAGTATTTGAGGTGTCTTAAGTTGAGAGTTGACCCTAGATGTCACTGGCCACCCACTGAATGCATGTTTTACCGATTAAAAAACATAAAATAAATTTATTGTTATTTACAGTGGTTGTTGGTGAATAATGGTAGGGAATAATCCCATTTCCCACCTGTCTTCAAAATATATTATATACAGCAATTGCGTGCAGCAGTCGATCACCTCTCAAAGCTAAATACTGTATGAAGTAAAAATGTAAAGGTAATAAGTGTTGTTCTTTTTTAAATAACTCTTTAGATTTCTAACAAATTCAAATTATTCATCCAGGTTGAGGCTTCGAAGCTGGAGAAAGAAATTGTAGAATCATTAGATAAGGACACACATGAAGCAATTCGCATGGCTCTTGTATGCATCTCCGCATTCACAAATGCTACTGATTACCTCAATCAAGTAAATATTTCATTGTTTTCTTTGTTTTTCATGATAATTCTGCTTTGCATTCACTGAGCTTTGATAGTAATTTATTAGAAATTTTTACATTGAAAAGCATTGACTATTCAAATATATAAATTTTCACTTCTCTCTTTGTTATATAAACAACAAAATCGAGTAACCTTTATGATTAGCACCCTTACTTAAGAATGATTCAGGAATTAGTGTGTTAACATGCTACAATGAATATGTACCTTGTGGAATACTCGTACATAATTTTTTTCAGTGGGGAGTCCCGTTGGCATCCTGAAGCTAGCTTACTGTCTGGCTCGTGGTTCCTGGTGGGCATAAAAGAACTTCACGATTGATGACACTCAAGTAGAATGACACTTAATCAATAAGCTAGTTTCAGGGAGCCTCTGGGGCTCACCCAGAAACTGATGTTTCATTATACAGTACTCAGTGCTGGCTGGCTTTTTTCCTCTCTCGCAGACATGTGCAGTGACAGTCTTCCAAGGACTGGTGTTTCTGCTTGGTTCACAAGACTTGGATCATTCCCCCATGAGGTATCATGTAGCACTGCAGAGAGCAGTGATTGATGGATTGCGTGTGCTAGTGGAAAAGTGAGGTTTGGAGTTGTGTTTTGTTTATTTATTTTTGTCAATACAGCATATCTGATTATTGATGCATTAGTACCTCATCCCTCAAGACATTGTCTAGATACAGACACCATCCCACTACCTGACCAGTTTGGGACTAAACGCAGCCGAACATGGTGATTATCCACATGTGGCGATGTATATGCTCACCCTCACAAAATATGCAATGTGTGTTACAGTATGTAAAAAATATGCCATCATAGCTTTACCCCTACAAAATATTTATTATATATCTGAAATTACATTACAATACAGGTACTGTACACTAAAAACTGTAAACCAAAGACAGCATCGCATTACAGGAACACGGTACACAATAAAATAATATTAAATTTGGAACATAATTGTATAGGGTACTCACCAAGGGTTGTGGTCCTCGTCCTCATACCATCTCATACAAATTTTAGCAAAGTTACAAGTCTTTGCTTTTCAGATTCAACATGGACTGGAGAAAGTGTTATGCTTCTGTGTGTCTAATGGCCAAGTTATGCGATGTTGTCAATATACCAGGACTCTCCCCACAGGTAATTGCTAACGGCTCTCAACCTGCTACACTGTGGGTCTTGGTAGTACACTCGGGTTTGTTCACCTACAGTAAATAGGTACCCGGGAGTTAGTCAACTGTTGTAGAGTTACAACCTAGGAAGGGTCAGTAGTTTGACCTTGGGCGGGGGGGAGAAGGGGGAAGGGGGACCTCAATAGTGGGCTGCCTGTCCCAAACAAAATGAATTTTATTTACATTATAACTTCAAATGTTTTTCAGCAGATGACTAAACTGTTATTATTTCTGAGCTATCACATTTGGTTGCTGCCTGAGATAGGTATCAGCTATGTCAAAAGACAGAAGCAGGAATCCTCACATCACTGTTGAGTAACAGTTATCCTCATGTCACTGTTGAGTAACAGTTATCCTCACATCACTGTTGAGTAATGGTAATCTTCATGTCACTGTTGATATCCAGAAAAAGGCATATAGAGAAAGATATAGTATTTGAGTTGCAGTATTTAAACAAGAAGTTTAACTTAAAGCTTAAACTTAATTCACAGAACATAATAATTTAAAGATGTGTTGTCAACTGAGTTGATTTAAAATGAGATACAAATGATATGCTTTTCAACTTGCAGGTTAAAGTGTGCACATTGAAGGCCATGAATTCCTGCATAAATGGCTTCATTCCACCTGTCATGGCAATGTTGGTGAACAGTGAAGATTTGGAGCATAGGCCTAACAGTGTTGAACTTTTGGGCAGGGTATGTAAGATACTTTGTTATCTTGGAACCTCCAGTCCTAGGTAATCAAGATTTTTTATGACTAATGGACATTCTTTTCCTGTAAAATAACAGTGTCATTTTCAGTTACAGAGGTTTTCATTCACAAAAACATGGGGCTTTTTTCCCTCTGAAAATAAGGTTTCCAGGCTATGGCATAGAAAATATGCAGGATGTGAAGTCTCTTTACAGACAGGTTCTCTTGGTAGTTGTCCTTCATATGACAGGTTGAAATTTGAATTTCACTCGGAGAAATCAGCCTATAGAACATGGGGAAATATTAGGGTATAAATAGTAACACACTTAATATGGCTCCAGTCACATTTTTAATGATTTTTGTAGATGGAAGCAACATTAGAAAAAAGAAACTGTTGAAACAATGTATTTTTCTTGTCTTAAATTTTTTTTCTCAAATGCCTCATGACGTCATCTCTGGTTGCGATGAATCTCTCACTCCAACAAATCAGGGTTGGTTTCATATAGTTCGCCATATTGCGGTTGAATCTGGAAGTGTTGAGGATTATTTTCATAAACATATTTGATTAAAAATTGTATGAAATAGAAGGAAAGTAGAATGCATAAGTAAACAATATTAAGCATGACATTTTTTTAATTATTCTTTAGATTGCAGAGAGGTTGATCAAATGTTGCTCTACTGACAGCATAGTGGATAATCAGATATTGTTACATAAAGCCTATAAGAAAGATAAAGAGCCTATAAGAGATAAATAGTGGAGAACCTATACTTTTCTTACAGCATTCCTTCCATGACTGACCAGAAGCTAACTGGTTTACTATCTAGGACTGTTTGTCACTATTCTTGTCTTGAATAAGAGAAAGTTACATGTTGACATGCAAATGTTGTGGCCAACAATGCCACAGTGAGCAACATGCTTCATCTCAGTGTACTGTAATTGTAACTTTTCACTCTAACACTTAAATATCCTTAAATGTTTAAATACATGTAGACAGCAGCTTCTTACCTTCTTCCCTCTACCCTTAATACTCTAATGCAACATTAGTCATCTTGTGCTTATTCTTTTCGATCACTAATATCAAATTTTGTTTAACAATTCACCAAGCTATAGTAACCATTTGTATTTTTGGCATCATTTTCAGTCATTAAGCATTTACTTGGGAGACAGAGACTGGGAAGTGAGGGACTCTGCATTGGAAATCCTCATCACGTGCATGAAGCTGGCCAAAGAAAGTAAGTTATGATTTACCATAACCCTCTTGATTGCTTCGGCCCATAATAGTAAAGCTTACAATAATTTAGGTTTGGTATGAACATTATTGTGAAATTTTCCCCCTCTGAGTATTCGCCACTCATTTGCTTCCATGGGCAAAATACCCTGGTAGTACATACATTGTACTACTGGTAGTACAGTACATGTACTGTACTACCAGGACCCTATACATTATAGGGTCCTAGTAGTACAGTTGGGTTCATTCTCACCTCACAATCGAGAATTCTGGGTTCAAATCCTGTGCGAGACAGAAATGGTTGGGCTCGTTTCCTATCACCTTATACCCCTGTTCAACTAGCAGTAAATAGATACCCAGGAGTTAGTCAGCTTGTTGTGTGGTTGTATCCTGGAGAGGGTCAGTAATTCAACCGTGGGTGGGGGGACCTCCATATAAGCCTAACATGTACTGTATTTGTTGTATACTGGCTGCCTGCACCTCAACACAATTAATTATTTATTATACTCCTTTACCTATTGCAAAATTGTGTCAGAGCCACTGCTATTTTTCATTTCTACTCACAGTGGGGGAGCTTTTCTATATGCCAGTATCATGCCATAAAAGGACTAAGAAAGACACAGGAGAATTCTGTTTTTAGTCACAAACGATTTCTAGAATGTATATGCCTCTACACTCATGAACCTTGTATATATATAAGAGTTCTTACATTCTTGTACAGCCATTAGCATGCATAGCATTTTGGGCAAGTCCCTAATCCAAATTTTCACACACACACACCCCAAGCGCTGTCCACTCAGTTCGTCAGGCCCCCCTGTTATGGTCTGGCAGGTTCGTCTAGGAAAAAACTCCGCTGTATCAGGAGACAGTCATACTAGTCCAGGCTGGCGTTTGCATATCCTGTTAAGAGGATATGCAAATATCCTCTCCCTTAAGCAATATGAATAATGCTTAAGGGAGCATTCTAATGCATTGTGCTCAGAAATGCAAAGTGCAGTATTTGATATTCCAGAACAAGTCTGGAACCATTTATTGCAGATTTTAGAGATTGCACTCTATAGGATTTTTTTATTCTTTATTAATTTTATGTCCAAAGTTATTACACAATGGAATACAGATATACCAGTAACTGTTTTCTATTTCTAGAGTACCCGCACTTTGTTGACTGGATGCTGCGCTACAAACTGAACTTGGCTGTTATAACTGCTCTTGGAGATATTGAAGGATATGTCAGAGCAAGTGCCTTCACTGTCCTTGCAAATATAATATCCTTTGACAAGGTTTGTTGTACAAGTCTGTCTTTTGGAAAAATCATTATATAATGAAGCAAGTTGATGATACGGATGTTATTTAAAATGTTATCTGGTATTCAATATTTGATTATTTGAACATTGTAACTAGGAGCAGTTTTGTTCCTTACTGCTTACTTTCATATCTGCATTTGCTTGCATCTAACAAGTTGCACTAGAAATTGAATGAGAGATCATCAGATCATTAGATCATCAGATCATCAATGCATCAGATCACAGGGAGAATGAGTAGTCACACTCAACACTTTCTACTCCCGCAGCCAGCGGTGAGCTAATTGCCAGTGATACAAAATTAATTCAGTAGTGAGGTTTATTGACTGTAATTCTTTCATTCTCTTATCTCAGAGATATGTATAAGTTTTCCCCGTGATAAGAGCTATGAACACATAGCAAGTGTCAATAATACTACATTATGCACTCGGACCACATATTGTACCCCTTTGAGTGTCAACTGCATGGCTTATACAAGGGAATCCTTTGTAAAAATAATTAATAGAGGAGCAGGGAAGAAGTGTTTTCATTTCATCCACCTCTTGACATGTTGGGAATTTACTCAAGGGAACAAATGAGGAGTCTTCATTCAGAATTAGGGTGATACATGAAATGAAACACTTCTGAGCCAGTTGCTTATTTGCTTCAATTCTCATTTTGTCCTGTCTTTCCCGAGCATCTTTATGTGGCCTGGGTAACATGTGCTGTTTCCAGCTTCACCAACTCTGTTGTGGGGATGGTGTTGCCAACTAGTGGTCAGAGTAGCAACTGATTGTACAGCTAGTGGTTAGTTCAACAACAATTTATATTATTTTATTTCAATTTTTTATTACATGGGCAGTTTGTTGCACTAATGTTAGTCCTTCTATATGATAATATGTTAGCCTCCTGGGGAGTGGCTTTAGTTAAATTTCCAACTATTTTTTCCCAACTAGAGTACACGACTAGACAATTTGAAAACTTACTGGTCATGGTGGTTAAACTGGCCATTTGAATTTGGTAAGTGGAATGTGACTATGGAACCTTTTAAGCATTTTATCAGGAGAGCAGCCTAGGGACCAGCTAAGGAAGCTTTAATTTCACTATGTGCCCTATTTCTTCTGTATATTAACCTGTTCACAAGTGTAAAATGTGTTGAATGTAACTTTAATCATTGGATAATTAGGTGTACATGGAGTTGAAGGAAGAGGGTCTGCCTCACCGTGCTTTGGCCTTTGCACTGCAGGAAGGAGAGTCCTCTGTAAGAAAAGCTGCCATAACTCTTGTACAGGAGCTGTTCTTGGCAGGCAAATACAGGTATGTTGCTACAGTTTGCATAATTTAGTTTACAAAATAAAATTAACCAAGGGAGTTTGGACTGGGGGGGATTTAATTAATTTGATAAAAGCATTAAGTATAACTATGCATCATTTTTAGAGTTATGCAGTTTTATATATTTTGTTCGTTTGCTTACTGATCCTCTGCATATTTAACATGTGTGTTAATGATTCTTCACAAGGCTTGCTAACATATGTGAATGCATTGCTTTACTTTGAATGACATTACATTACTGTACTCTAAAAAGAATTGCTTATCTTTAAAAAAATGTAGATAAAGACCATTATTGGAAGGGGGTGTATTAATATCATGGTGTCTTGACCTTCATTTGTGTGTTGAAATCAGTGAAGAAGAAGTGACTGGTTTTGTTGTAAGAATAATCCAGCGTTCCGCAGAAGATCCAGATGATGAGGTACGATTGGCATCTCTGGAATTCATCTACACTCATATCCTTTGGACTCTAAATAAAGCAGGTAAATGTACTTATGTGTAACTGTGGCAGTCATTATAACATGATTACTTGCTATAGGAATGCATTGGTAAGATGGGTTATGCTAAATATTGAATTATCAGCATAGCTTATGAAAATAAACATGTACTCTTTTTTTCCACAGGAATGGTTGATGGAGAATTTCCCCAAGTGACATTTAGCAAAGGAAAGATTATAAAGCTTGATAAAGAAAAAGTGAGGAGTCGTATTCATGCTGTTCTCACTTGGTAAGGCAATTGAGTACTGCATTTAAAAAAATAATAATAAATAGATTGCACATATATGAACCCCACAAACTTGTACTATAATTGAGTCTACTACTGGTACGTAAATTGAGTGGCTTATGATGTAACTAAAAGTAAATTGACAATAAAATTTCTAAATATATGATGGGTTTGGATGATAGTATGAAGAGTGGCAACAAGAATAACAAAATTAGCTCTACATCATGAACCTAGTTTGCACAAGTCAGACCGATCCAGGAATATGCAGCTCCGGCCTGAAGTCCATACTTAGTTAAACACAAGGCAAAGTTAGAAAAGATTCAGAGGTATGCCACAAAATTAATCTCAGAACTGAGAGGTATGAGCTACAGGAGCTAAACCTCATGTCCCTGAAAAACAGAAGAGTAAATGGAGACATGATCACAAAATTCTCAGGAGAATTGACAGGGTGGACATAGACAAACTATTTAGCATGGGTGGAACACAAATACATAAGGAAACACAGATGGAAACTTAGTACCCAAATGAGCAAGATACATCAAAATTTTTTTTTCAATGTCAGAATAGTTAACAAATGAAATGCATTAGGCAGTGATGTGGTGGAAGCAGACTCCATATACAGTTTCAAATGTAGATTTGATAGAGCCCAAGAGGCTCCAGAATCTGTACACTAGTTGATTGACAGTAGAGAGGCGGGACCAAAGAGCTAAAGCTTAACCCCCCACAAGTACAACTAGGTGAGTACAAGGAAAGAAAATTAATTCTTTGTGTTAAGTTTTGTATAGCAGCTCGGAATAAAGTGATCATGTATTATTGGAGGTACAGCACAATACATTTATACATTAGCATTACCCAGCTTCCCACAAACTGTATTGAGGTGTGGAGGCAATAGCCCAGAGAGAGAAAAAAAGGTGAATTATATAGTAAAAGTAGATTATTCAAAAGTAAAGCAAAGGAATACCTAATTTCCTCACAATAGTCTACCTCGCCCTCCTTAAGCAAACTATACTATACGTGTGAATAACATCTTCCCAAGAACATTGTGCCACTACTTCACCTAGTATTGTGCTAAGAATATAACTCATTACTATTATTATTATTTCTTGTTACTAATTTACCATCTTTTCATGATGTTATAGGATTTGCGAGTGTGGCTACATGTGCTCTTTACTGGCGTGTATAAAGGACCTGGTAACGAGTGTGGCAGCCAAAGCAAGAGAGATTCTGCGCTTCATTAATGAACTCATCACTCGTTATGAGATACATTTGGAAGACAATGTCAAGAGCAGGTTTGTTGGATTAGTTTAAAAATACTGTATTGGTGTTTTTTCCTAGTTGATATTACTTCATATTTTTCTCTGAAAGCACCAGATTTGAGTGCCATGTGTTTTTCTTTAAAATATATACTGTAGGGCTTATAAAATGAAGTGATTAAAGTGCTACACTATATCTTATTAAAATTTATTTTGTGATTCTGATTCATTGAATGAAATTGAATTCTTAAAGTGAACATTTATGTATATATTAATATTTCCATGATTCAGGTTTTATGTTATAATAAATGACCCTGTAGGTCTACTCCACCTATATTTTTCAATAGCTACTGAATGTTTTATGCTGTGGTGTTTTGGCACTAACATTTAAAGTACCGTACATATACTCTTTCAGAAAACTGTTGGGAAATAGTGTTCCGGAAAGCAGAGTGAGGGAGTGTGTGATGGTGGAGGTGCCAAATGTTGTAAACATTGCTGGTCACCATGTCGTCATCCCAGAAGATACGACCCTTAGGGATGAAATTGATAAGACAATTAGTGATATTCTCAGCTCTTCATCTTTGGAATCTGTGGCCAAGTAAAATACAGTTTTAATTTCTTTGTTTTAATATGGTTTTCTATAAGTACTTTAGTGGACATGTAAGAAATTGTTCCAATGTAATTCAGTTAATTTTCTCGTTTGTTATTTACTTTTATTTATTTTTACTCTTTTCTAAATTTATACAACTCAGTTTCTTCCTAAGGCAGAGACCTGCTCTCACAAAGACATACTATAATAGCCAAGCATGGCTGACTTTGACTTCCCAACAGTATGGGTCTTGTCAAAACCTGCAGGGCTAACCGTGGTGAAAGGGAGACACACTGGAGATTTATCTAACCAGCCCAGAATAACCTCCAGATTTACACTTATTTACTGTATATTTAAAACCTCCTCCAAGTAATTGGAGGAGGTTTTACCACACTCAAATGCTTATGGAGCTTGCTAAGATTGGATTTCTTCCTGTATAAAATTGTCCACTTGATACTGTTGGTGACATCCAGGAACAACCTGATGTTTGTCACAGGTACTTCTTGGCTGCTGGACTCTAGGTTTAATGCTTCAGGTTTTCTGGCTGGAAATAATTGAATGTTGACCGTACATTTCACCACTTTATGTCTATCATGCTTGGTCTGTCTCCCCATTATCCAGGCTACTTATCAACTCAAGTCATTTCATACATAATTTTCACACTTAGAATTCTGCCAGATGGAGTAATATTTGTTTACATTTAAAAGAATGAATATTGTGAAGTGTAATAAATACAGATGCATTAATCAGTTGAGTGTAATGGGCATAGTATATGGAGGATTGACAGTTTTTCAGATACAGTACCTGAGAATTTGATCATTGATGAACACGGAGGATATCTTGGTGGCAGAGGTTGAGGGAATCAGATATTTTAATTAGGTAGCTATCAGAAAGTAATGTGTGATAGGAACTATAAAATGCACAAAACTTTATGACAACAATTGGCTTCCACCTTTGAGTTTGCTTTTGTCATGCTTTATTTAATGAAGTTTTGAAGTGATTATTATGCTGCTTGTGAGAGGGTATAGTATGCAAGGAAACCCTCTTAACTCTTTGTAATAATTTTTCTCTACAGGCTATGATAGCGTTTTCAGAAGGGTCGGACCGGTTGGACCCTGAGCTAATGAGTTACTCTTTTGAATGTGAATGCCCAAGTCTTCAGGAAAAATTACTTTCCTTACATGGCATATTTTGGATAACCTGTTCCCTGAACACTTATTTGTTATATTTTCATGTATTATGTTTAATAAGAAACTTGATTTTGGGTGATATGATACTGTATTCATGAAATAGAAAATAAATTGCTGTATGCAGTATAATAGCCTATAGAGTATGTAAATAATCAAAGCCATGAAGACTTTTATTGTAAATACAGTATATATATATACTGTATTTACTGTAATGCATTGTATTGTGTGTGTGTAGGTGTAGTTCATGTGCTGGCCTCTAGCCCAGGTAATTTTTAATGATCAGCTAGAAAAGTACAGTACAGTACTGTACTGTATTGACGATTACGGTACATCTATTTTTACTTCCTAAACCCATGCAGGCTACGTGAATTTTATTGATAAAAATAAAGAGAAAATACAGCATATATAAGTGAGTTATAAATATAAAATATTTGACTAATTTAATTGGGACTTAACTACTCTGCAAACACACAATGTAACTGTCCTTATTTTCTGCAACTTGTAATAAAGTGGTTTCATCTTATTATAACATTTTTATGACATATTAGAACATTGTTACAACTTGCTATATTGGTTGTTACTTGTTAGGTGTTAGATCGTGTTCGAACATTGTAGCAATATTGTAGTTTTGTCGTGTGTTGGGCGGGTAGAGGCTACTTAATGTCGAGGCCATTGGCTCGATTAAATCACTCAACATCCCGGGTTACTAACATAACGACACCACAACACACCATTGACTACAACACATTTTTGACACCAGGAATGTGATACCACTAATAACAACACACCACTGACAACAATTCACTTTTGATATCAGCAACCTAACACAACACACTACTGACACAATGCACCTTTCACACTACCAGAATCTGGTCACCCCTCACCCCTTCTTCTCAGATACTATGAGTACGTTGGAATAAGTATTGTACAAGAAATAAATGTAAAAGGCTTTATTTGTCCTAAAATAATTTTTGTTCTCTTTCAATGATGGGTTATACTTGGAGGTTATGAAAAAGTTTTAAACAAGAGATGCCGAAGTGCTAGGTTTACTTGAACTAGATGGTAAATGTTCGATGACTGAACCCAAGACAAACCGATCACTTCCTCTGAACAGTAAAGCAATCTCTGAATAATATTTTCCAGTTTACTCCAGTCACATTGGCATAAATTTCTGGAAATAATTTTTCTCTGACGATCTTCAGAAATTTGTCTTTATATGCAAGTGCACTAGTGCTGTCAGCAGAATGACTCCCACCTATGATTACGATCTGTCCTATTTCACGAAGGCCCATAAACGATTTTAACCACCCCTAGTAGTATATGATAATGTACTTACATGTATTTTCTAATGGAAAACCTTGCTTTTTCCATAAGCTATTCTGGGACGGTTTTTTTTTATTTAATCACGCTTCATTTTCAACACTTCATTTTAGCCTATTATAGAACTTTCCTCTTTGCGAGGCATTTATGATTCTTGTTTTGATTATAATATTTCACAATCTTCTCTATTTTCTTTGGAATATCACTCAAAGTTGTAGTTGATATATATTCAGCAAAGATGAGTGCCTTAGGGACACCACTTTTAAAACTTTCTAATTAATTCGTATTTCTTCACACTCGGTAACATAACATGTTTTTTCTAATTTATTCTGTTAGCTGAAGGCCTTTCTGAGTCATTCATGGTGTTTTGAAAGAACATTAAAAAACGATGCTGATGAGATTGTGAGATATACTCAAGGTAAGGATGGGAGTCAATGAACTGTCAAGTAGCCAATGTAAATAATACCACCTAACGTGTTCATCTAGGCAGTCAATCCTGCAACTATTGGCCTACAGCATCCATCTGCCCAAAGACTGGGCTGCCAAACAAGAGGGGCCATATTCGTCATTTCTTAGTAAATGACTTGGCAAACTCTAGCCCAAATACGAGGGGTAAACATAAAACATCTGCAAAAACGCTATCATTGCCTATGTTTTCCTTTAAATGTTTAAAATTTGCTTTGATTATATTAAATTCTTATAAAATTGGTACCAATCTGTCTGTCTTTTCATTACAGGATTAGGCGACCAATTATCGAGTCCCTAGATACATCTCTCTGCTCAGGGAAGTTTCTCCTCACACTTGATGACATTCCACCGGCAAACCCAGCACTTCCAATGTCATGTCTGTTACAAAGCATTGATGGTCTTTGTCAGTATAACACTTCCACTCAAGGTATAAATTATGTTTAGATTAGTTTACAGTAAAGAAGGATTTTCTGAAAAATATATGGAATATAGAGATTTCATTGTATTAATATCTTGCCATCCTCACTCAAGTTCATTTTATTTTAACCATATTCATACTGCAGCTCATGATTGGATGGTCCACAGTTTGTTCCAAGTAGAAAATTCTATTATTATTTTGCTGTATCTGATCAGGTAAATGCTAACAAAATGGCTGAATGTTAAGTGTGTATGATTCAACCTCGGTTTACATACACACATCCCACATTACCTAGATATTTTCTCATATTCAGTTACTGTATGTTTTAGTAGCATAATTTTTTAGGAAAGTTAAACAGTGACAATAGAAATAAAACTACCAGAAGAGTAACTGATAAGAGAATCAGTCTCCAGTATTCCACAGAACAGCTGATTAAGAGTGTGCCATTCTCTTGGGAAAAGCCCTTTAGTCCTATTGGGTCACAAATCCCTGTCCCCTTTGCTTTGACTCATGCTGAGTAGTCAAGCCAAGATTCCTAAACCACCCCGAATGTTTTATGAACACTTTTAATTAGTTGACATTGATCATTTTCCTACAGTTCTAGGTAAATTTTTTGTGTCAGTCAATCATCCCTTCATATTTCATTATTTTTCTTCCCTATTTATCATCATCCCTTGCTCCCTCCTGCTTTTTCTCCTTTTCCTTATTTGGAATAACACTTGTTTCTGGTGGGAGAAGATTGCATGCTGCCATAACCCAAAAGGCAATTAAAAATGGCCCTTGAAGCACCCCAGAGAGCATAATATCCAAGAGTGGTATTGGTCTGACATTGAAGTGATGTTATCAGCATGGATTCAGTGTTGATATTGGATATTGTGGATTTTGTACCTTGTCAAAGGATATGGTTGGACCTAGAACCCAGTCCTCCAGTTTGACTCTTAATGCTGGAAAATCAAGCTGAGATTGTAAGCCCAACCCAGAAGTTACATGGACATTGTGTTTATATTGTACTAGTGGCTTTGTTACAGTGCCAGATTTGTATGTCGGTTGATCAATCAGTCTTCTTCCCTCGCTCTCTTCCTAATTTTCCTTTTTTCCCTTCCATTATCCTCCTCCTTATCTATCTTCCTCCTTCCATTCTCCTTTCTTTTACTTTCCTCACTCTTCCTGTCTTCAGTTACACATATAATAGCAGTATTCATGATAAACCTAACTATTTTTAAGATCTTTGAAGAATCAAGGTGTTTTGCTTTTTAATAACATGTCACTTTTGCTTATTTGGAATTCTTCAGTTGCATTTAAGTTCATAGCAACATTACTCATTAATGTAAAATATGGATTATGATTTTCCAGATGAAAAACACCAAATTAATGAAATGATTTCATTACTGGACGACATTCTCCTAGACGGAAGCCAACAACAATCTCACATTGATGACCAACGGGTGCGGGACTGCTACTGAGAACTTTGAAAGGCACCTTCTGTATGACTTTCATAGTTGAGTGTGATTGAGATGTTGAAAAAAGAGATTCTATATGTGGTTATTCTCACAGAGGGGAAATTCAGATAGAGCTAAACATAGGAGTAAGGCAACTGTTATGGGTTGCATCCTAGGGAAGGTCAGTAGTTCAACTTAAGGGAAACCTTGATTCAAGTCTTAAGTACAGACTTCCTCTCTCTGACAATGGGAATTATAGGTGGGAGGTGTGAGTAATTATTGCCATAATGTTGGTAGCCCTCTCCGTCTATAAGGTGCTGACTAAGAGACTTCAAAAGAAAATTCTGAAAAGTTACATAGCAATTTTTTTTAATGTTAAATTAAATGCCAAGTGTATATTGCTCAAAAGTGTAATGTGGCATAAATGGTGACTACTAAATATTATTTAGGTTCATAAAGTTATTAAACTTTTGATAAAGGTTGTTACTATATATTACAATATATTTTTTTACCTAAAAATGTTTTTAATTACTGTATATTGTACAAGGAAAAGGCCTAAATGCTACATCAGAAACTCACTGGTTAGAACTATATGTAGTAGGAATGATTCCTTCCCAAGGGGTTTATTTAACCTTGTAGTGACTTACAAGGTTTCACATAAAGTCTCCCATTTTTTCCACTGTACTCCAGATTCAAAATTAACTTAAGATATCCTAAGGTAACCTAACCCCAATCTAACCAAAACAAGTGTGGCAAAGCCAACACATGTCCAGAGAGCATGACTGGAGAGTAAGATAAAAGGATTTAACAATAACATGAATAAATTATGATGTGTTTTAGAAATAAGGGAGGTGGTGAGTAAATATTTAAGCTGTATAATGAGATCAAAGTACCGACACCCGAGTGTGGGCAGGTGTCTCAAAATTTTGATTGTGGTACTGGATAGTGCCTTCCAAACTATTTGCAAGTCAAGGCAAGTTAACCTCCTTGTTAAACGATTTGGTGGTTTGTATTCCGGATAAAAATTAGGATTAAGGACATGCTAGTGACTTTACAAGAATGTAACAACTCATATATATATATAATAAAAAAAGTGACAGTTTTGGTTGAGATACTTTTAAGCCCATCATGGTCTAGTTGGCAGTGTGTGCCTCAGGAGTCCAGGAATGCAGGTTCAATCCTATTAAAAGGTTTCAATATTTTATCATTCTTGTGATTTCATTGTGCAAGGTGGATGGCTGGACCTCCCTTTTCTGAGGGTCAATCCAAAATGCTATTACATTATTGCTTTGTTTACACTGGAATAAAAGACTAGCAAAACTAAGTTATTTTATCTTAAGCAAGAACAAATAGAGAAAAACCCAGCTTTGAATGTAATAAAATGCCAGTGTCACCAATCGCGGCATGTATATTTTCTAATATGGTCCAATTTTTCAAATGGAATCAAATGTTTATTCATTTGTTACAGCAGGTAACACACTGCTACTACCGACGACGGCCACTTTGTCCTCACAGGACCAAGTCAAGAGTTCTGGACTGCCCAAGGTGAACTTCCCTCAGCTCAATCGCTTCCTTATGTCACCTCTGTGAAGTTCACCTCCAGCCACCAGGGACGCCACACTGGGGTCGATTCTAATCGTACATAAACATTTCGAATACCGTCCGGTCGGTACACAAATAACCATTTAATTCAGACAATTACATACAGGAATCATTTCGTACACATTAAGGACTGGCTTGTGTCCCTTGCTGTTCTCATCTCCCAAGACAGTAATATAACCAAAATGAGATAGAATTTGCTAATAAGTTAATGCGAGTAATCAGATGGTACAATATATAATAATAATGTCTGACCAGCCACATGCCTGAAGCTTGGCAAGCCACAAACCTCCAGCCAGCCGGGTTTTTGATCGAATCATATACAGTGTAACTGTTTCGGAGGGCATTGGCTCAATACACAAAAGTCCAGTTCGTTCACAAACTGGTTTGTATTCAGGAACCCTTTTGTATACATGAGGTGTAGACAAAAACGCACATTTTCTGCGATAGAAGAAAACGCATGCATAGAGTGGGGGACGTCTTTATTTGTTTAATAATATATAATAGTAATACTGTAATTATTATTAATCTAATTATAATAATTAGAATAATTTTTAAAGTAACATTTATAATAATGATATTTAACATAACATTTATAATATTTATAGTATTAACATTTATATTATAACATTTAATACTAATATCATTTATAATAATAATATAATAATTCCAATAATTTATAATAATAATATAATAATTCCAATAATTTATAATATTGTAATAGCCATAATATAATTTATTAAATCTATAATAGATTTGAGTTGTGTAATTGGTTAATAATAGTAATAATTATAAATATAAGAACAATTAGAATATTTATAAATAACATTTATAAATAATATCTAATAATTGTAACATTTATAATTACAAAAATTTATATTAGTAGTTATAATATGTTCATAGTATTGTAATAGTAATAATATAATTTATCAAATCAATAATAGATTTAATAAATCCATTACAAGTAAACTACACGTAATTACATGTTCAATTATTTAAAATTACACTAATGCATTTATGAAGGTAATTAGTTACGTTGATCATGGTATTAAATATCGTAAGACTTTGGGGGTTCCGGCAGAGCACCGTTCCAGCGGTGCACCCCAATACGCCAGGCCAGTTGGCGCGCTTGGAACCCCCCAACCCGAAATGCAAGTGTTAGCTGGCTGCTGTAACAGGCTTTAAGAGGTTAGCAGCCACGTCGCTAACCTGGCACTACTAAGAAAGAACGAGAGGGTCTTTCCTTCCATGCAGCTGTAGCATAAAGTCTTGCCGTTCCAGACTAGTCCAACTCGGGGACCTGAAGAAGGACCTGCAATACAAATGAATAATGATAGGAGTTTGTTGAATACCGGTAAAGTGTGCGCAGCAAAAAGGGCTACAATACACAACTTCAAAAAGCACATTTACTAATAAGAAAATGACTGGGGAAGTCTACTAAACTGGCAGATTTAAACTTTAAATAGACAAAAAGAAAAATTCCTTCCCTTCCATAAGCTCTCCACATATGTCAGTTGCTTAATTTAGAACCTGTACTTGAGGTCGATCTCGAACCCATTGTTGATGTGACGACTTATATTGAATTTTGTAACTAGCTCATCAAGATTGTAACTTGCTTAGCTAAATGAATTGTGGGGTTCAGTCCCTGAGCCCATTATGTGCCTCTGTAACCCTTTCCACTACCGCCCACAAGATGGGTATGGGGTGCATAATAAATGAACTAAACTAACTTCCATAAGGTCTTATGAAGTGTTAACAAAGGAACCAGCAGTAACACTTAAATATGTAAAAGAAACCCCACAAGAGGAGCTATTACACAAAGAAGGGTTCAATACTTGAGGAAACCGGGATAATCCAAAAGAAATTGCATTAAAATAAATGTGTAACTGTTGGCAAAGGGCATTGCACTGAAGCAAAACTAAACCTTGTTTAAAGGAAGTTATACCTAGATAAGAAAGGTGAGAAAATCAGAAAAAGTCAAATCAAGAAAGTCAAATCAAAAGTCAAAATCAGAAAAAGATGAAATGAACCTGTGGGCTAGGACTTGCAGAGAATAAAACAGGAAGCTGAAAGGGAACTTCAAACTGCGTAGAGAAACCAGGCAAGAGAGGGAACACCGACAACAGAACTGGAAACTGCAGAGAAAAGATGAAGTAATAATTCCTAGCTCTGAAAACGCTGGAAAAGTACAGGATAAGAAAAAATCTCAAAGAAAAGAAGCAAGTAAATAGAATAAAATAAGAAGTCCTTGCACAAACCCCTTAAAGAACAGAAAACAGGAGAGGGGTGTAAGAGTCCTCTAATAGAAACTCAGAAGGGCTTTACTGTGTAACAAGTGTAATAAAGACTACAAAAGAAGAAAAAAAATATCTAACCAAAATTCAGGATTACCTTATGGGTTCTAAAATAGGGTTAAATAAGAATTTAAAAACCAGCGAACCAGCATACAGTGGCAAGCATCAAAATGTCAAAGATTCTACATTAAACGATAGATAGTGCAGGTAGTTGAAACAGTCGGTTTAAAACCCATTATAACTATGGTAAAGACTAAGACTGTTTAGCGAAAAGGAGAAGACTGCCAATATCTTCCAATAACTTGACAGAAGGCCAGTAGGTATAAGAAAATTTCCATAAAAGAAATAGTAATACTTAATTTACTAATGTATAAGAATAACATGAGGCACGGAATGAAAATATGAATGCAAATAAACATGAAGTAATGCGAGAAGTGCCAGTACTGTAAATAATAAAGGAAATGCATGAAATTCTTTAACAATTTCATAGTAATGGGCAAACAGGCATTAAGAATTTGCTAATAAGTTAATGCGAGTAATCAGATGGTACAAGATAATAATACAAAATAATGGCCGACCAGCCACATGCCTGAAGCTCGACAAGCCACAAACCTCTAGCCGGCTGGGCACTGGTCGAATCATATATAACTTTTTTTTTTGTTTTTTTTTTAGATATATACAAGAGTTGTTACATTCTTGTACAGCCACTAGTACGCGTACCGTTTTGGGCAAGTCCTTAATCCTATGGTCCCTGGAATACGATCCCCTGCCGCGAAGAATCGTTTTTTCATCCAAGTACACATTTTACTGTTGCGTTAAACAGAGGCTACAGTTAAGGAATTGCGCCCAGTAAATTCTCCCCGGCCAGGATACGAACCCATGAGGGAGGGCGTCGGTTCAGTACACAAAAGCCCAGTTCATTCACAAACCGGCTTGTATTCAGGAACCCTTTTGCACACACAAAAAACCGTAGTTGCACACTTTATTGATTTTTGCCGCCAGATAGTTCATCAAGCATCCCCTATTCAACCAGCGAGTGGTAGTTTATTGTGCACCCCGAAGCCTGACTTAACCGGAGCCCGACCAGTTGTGTAACCGCAAGCCTAGCATGAACGAACCGAACAAACAACCTCTGAAGCACAACCATGTACGTACAGAAGTCCGACCATGCACAACCCATAGCCCAAATGACACCCCTCGAGCCCGACTAGTTATTTAACCGGAGCCCGACCAGTTGTGTAACCAAAAGCCTAGCAAGTATACATCTCTTCCAACCCCCCAACAAGCTAAACAGCCCTAAAGCCCAATCAAAATCCATTCCTAGCTCGACCAAACTAGTCTCTTCTTAGCCCTACCTAAAACCTTCCACTTGCCCTAGAAACCAACTATGGAGCCATAGCAAAAAAAAAAAATGAGCTATGTACAAAAAAGAAACCTGGATTTCTAGCAAACATAAGTATAGAGCCCTAGCAGACAACCCTAAAGCACAACCATGCACGACCGAAGATCGACCATGCACAACCCGAAGCCCAAATGACACCCCCGGAGCCCGACCAGTTATGTAACCGGAGCCCGCCAGTTATGTAACCGGAGCCCGACCAGTTATATATCCGGAGCCCGACCAGTTGTGTAATCGGAGCCCGACCAGTTGTGTAACCGGATCCCGACCAGTTGTGACCAAAGCCCTACCAGTTGTGTAACCGGACCCCCTACAAGTTGTGTAACCAGACCCCGACCAGTTGTCTAATCAAAAGCCTAGCAAGCATACATCTCATCCAACCCCTGACCAAGCTAAACAGCCCCAGAGCCCAATCAAAATCTATTCCTAGCTCGACCAAACAAAAGTATCCTTAGCCCTACCTAAAACCTTCCAATTGCCTTAGAAACCAACTATGGAGCCATAGCAAAAAAAAAATTGAGCTATATACGAAAAAAGAAACCCGAATTTCTAGCAAACATATAAGTATAGATCCCTAGCAGACAACCTTAGAGCACAACCATGCACGACCGAAGCCCGACCATGCACAACCCGAAGCCCAAATGACACCCCCGGAGCCCGACCAGTTATGTAACCGGAGCCCGCCAGTTATGTAACCGGAGCCCGACCAGTTATATATCCGGAGCCCGACCAGTTGTGTAATCGGAGCCCGACCAGTTGTGTAACCGGATCCCGACCAGTTGTGACCAAAGCCCTACCAGTTGTGTAACCGGAGCCCTACCAGTTGTGTAACCGGAGCCCTACCAGTTGTGTAACCGGACCCCCTACAGTTGTGTAACAAGACCGCGACCAGTTGTCTAATCAAAAGCCTAGCAAGCATACATCTCTTCCAACCCCCCAACAAGCTAAACAGCCCCAGAGCACAATCAAAATCCATTCCTAGCTCGACCAAACAAAAGTCTTCTTAGCACTACCTAAAACCTTCCACTTGCC